TTGCCTTTTTGTGCCTCAGTTTCCCCATCTGTGAAAAGGGGATAGTGTTACTGACATTCTTTATAAAGGGCTTTGAGCACTATGGATGAAAAGTACAACATCAGAGCTAGATACCATTGTTATAAATAAGTTGAACGATGCTCATTGCAGTTACCGCTGAGGTGAAATTAGAGTAGCAGCCGTGTTAGTCTGTATCCGCAAAAAGAACAGGAGTACTTGTGGCACCTTAGAGACTAACAAATTTATTAGAGCATAAGCTTTCGTGGGCTACAGCCCACTTCTTCAGATGCATATAACATATATATAACATATGCATCCGAAGAAGTGGGCTGTAGCCCACGAAAGCTTATGCTCTAATAAATTTGTTAGTCTCTAAGGTGCCACAAGTACTCCTGTTCTTTTTGAGGTGAAATTAGTGGCTTGTATTTGCTACCCAGTAGGCAGCAGTCTTCTTGGCATATGTCAACTCTGAGCACGTGACCAGGATTCATCACCGAATTTGAAGGGGTAGGGCTAGAATTTTTTTTTCATTGTCCCTCTGTACAGCGAGTGTAGGCAGAGTTTAATTTTCCTTTGTAAGTGATCATGCGTTCTTTACACACAAACATCATGTGATTCAGGGCATAGAGCTTAATATTCTCCTCCATAAAAACTCAAGAATTCCTTTAGTTTTTATTAGTCAGAAGACTTTCTTCTGTGTGTCAGCCACTAGAGGGCAATGGGCATATTAGCAGGTAGGTTAGAAATTTCCCCCAATCCCTAAGGATGGTAGTGTGAGCAAGGGAGAACAGATTGTTTCATTGTAAAAACCTGGGTAGGGAGACAGTGCTTCCCTGAAACAACTTGCTTCTGGTAACAAAGTCTGACCTTTAGATATCAATTTGCTACGTGCACCACTTCCCATCATTTCATACACAAGGTAGTACATTTTGACAGTCTTTAGAATGTATACCTCTGTCATAATTTACAAACATCACTTCTTATTCTTTGTCTAGCAAGTAGCAAATTATGACAGGTAACTGACCTAAATCAGAGACTGGAAATAATTCTATTAAAAATGAAGAGTGGTCAACAGGATTAAAGAAGAGTGCCTATTGGCAAGAACAGATTGTTTTAATCAGTTCTCTATTTGTTAAGCTTCTGTTCAGTGATTTATAGCAAACATGAACTATAAGGCTCACAAGAAGCCCAAGGTGGACTGACTTAAAAATTGTGTCTGAGAAGAACTGAAACTGATGTGTACTTAATGCAAAGTATAGTACTTCTTTACATGACCAGAAAGAATAAATGTATTGCTAAAAAGAAAGGATAAAGCCTCTATTGTAGGAAGAGCAAAACTGGCAAAAACCAGCCTGCCACCAAGTAAAAATGAGAAGTAATATGAAAATTGATATTCAGATTTTACTCAAAACCTGTGCAATTAATTTCAATGAGATTGAACTGGGCAGAATTTAGCCCATTGCATAAAACCAATCTACAGCGTTACTACTCATGATCTAATTTTGGCAATAGTTGCACACCTTGTCTTAGTAAGAAAATGATTGGAATGGATTGATTTGCCCTTCCCTACTACACCTGACTGCTCTATTCTTGTGTGCAGACAGAAAACTAAACTTGACAAGAGTCTGAATGTCAGGATGCTCAGAGCAAGATTCATGTCAATTTCCCATTGTTGCACACTGGAAAAGAGCGAACAGATATAAGAGGACACAGCAAACGTAACAGGACACAACACAATCCTAATTTTTTTTTTTTTAAGTAGATCAAGATTTTGACATCCCTTTAAGCTTGAATACTGACTTCTCTGCTATACAAATGTAATCATAGGGAAACTATATTTTGGTATTCAAAATGTCATAGTAGGAAAGTTTTCCTTTTTAAAAGTACCTTGTTTTTACTCTAAAAAAAAAAAAAAAAAAGCACAATAACTGTATTGACCAGGAAGTTATGATTTATTTTTCATTTCCACTACATACCTTATGGTTTCCCAAAGGAGTTAACTTACATTATACAAACAAGTGCAAACAATTCTGGGCTGGAACAGCTTGTATTGGTTTTTTTCCCCCCTCTCTCTCTTTTACAGTCCATGATGTAATCCTAAAATTACTAGCAATTCCCTTGATGAACTGATAGTAAGGGATGCACCTTAACTAGGACTGCATAACGTCCTTTGTCACTAGGATTGCTCCATCTACTAAGCTATAAGTGCTTTTGGGCACAGCTCTTGCAAGTTGTCCTGTGAGCCCCATTGACTTAATCAGGACTCCGTGTGAGCGCAGGGATGTCCCTATCCAGAAGAACTTGTAAGATCAAGACCTTTTTATTTTTTTCGCTAGTACTCCTACTGTTTGAACAGTGTGTGGAGTGTTTGAGAAATGCAGTGAATGAAATGAAAAATACTGAAGTGTTTCAAGAACAAAGCAGTCCTGTTAGCTTATAATACATATTGCCTGCATGTTTTATTTGCAAAACATGGATTGAAGTAACTGATTGCTAAGTGGATAGTTTTCAATGGAAGAAAACTTGGGCCCTAATACTGCAAGGCCCTAATACTGCAAGGACTTGTGCCTATGTTTAATTTTAAGCATACTAGGAAGCACACTTATTTCAATGCAACTACTCAGGGTCAGAGCCAAAAATTGCAACTACAACATACTTTTCAGAGCCAGGCTATAAACTAGACTATCTTGGTCTGCAGCTTCTATTAAAGAAATATCCTAAAATGTTTTTGCTTAAAAAGAGGACTTGTTTTATTTTCAGTTTGGGGGGGGGTGGAATCTAAAATTTTAATTTAAAATATATATTTTCCAAAAGAGCTTAAACTGGTATTTGAAGATTGCAAATATTTTTAGTTTATCTCCCTTCTCTTAGGCTTCTCCAAGTCTCAGCTCTCCAGATTCTAGGCTGTACATAATACTGCTGGCTGCCTTCTCACATGTACAGAGAACAAACACATCCACACCATTCCCGAAGAGCTCATCTGCCCTCTCTAGTCAGTTAATTCTAATGCAGGGACTTGCTTCTGTCTAGCCCATGTAGCTTGTGTCTTTCTCCCTGCATGTAGTACCATCTTCTCTGTACCTTCCTACAGTTTTGCTACTGTAAGAGCCTTCTGCACTACAGCTTCTCCCACTTGCAACAGCCTTCTTTTATCTCTCCACTGCATTTCAAAACTGAAAACGTTTTTTCCTCTTGTCTATACCTCTTATTTTATCTTTCCATCTGCTATTATTTCTCACTATTACTGTGTTGTTTAACTCAAAGTGGTAGGAGTTCAGTTGATATGAAAGGCACTAATGAATACTGTGCAGCTTTCATTTGTAAAGTGAGATGATAGCTTGATGATACTAAAGTGCAGTAACTCTTCAAATCATGGAAATTCTTTTTCTACAGTAGGAAATTATGGAAGGTTATGAATGCTCCTAACAGAAGAAAGAAAACTCTGTTTAACCATCTATACATGCTGCTTCTGGGAATGAAATCCCTCGAGCTATTAACCAGAAAATCTGGGAGACTAAAAATGCTGTTGACAGAACATTTTTGCAAAAATCAAGTCCCGTGTGTGTGCCTGTGTATCTCCTCCTACCTTTGCAGCAAGAAGAAAAAAGAGAATGGTTATGAGCAAGTTGACCAAGAAAGATACATGAACTTGGTCCGTTCTGTCACATCTTCCAAAGCCAGCCCTCAGACACCGGAAACATTGTATGAAGAAGATAATCTGATATATGGACCAGTGAGTAAGTTTAAGTCTCCAGTTAAGGATGTTGAAGCAAAAATTCCAAAAAATTGGGTCCCTCTGGTAAACTCCAATAAAAGAACTTTGCCTCCAAACAGTGACCGAAAGCACCTGCTGAAAATCGGTTTACAAAGGCACAAGGTGCCCAGTGTGACGAGTGTTCTTCAGCAGACCATGCCTTTGGACCAGGCATTCTACCTGAAGAGGTGGAAGCAGCGGATGATTCTGGAACTTGGAAAAGATGGTTTTGCAGAATATACCAAAAGTAAGTCTAACCAAAATGCTTCTAAAAATAATGGGCCAGGCTCTCAGCAGCATAGCTGCCGGATCTGGCCCTAGAAGACACACACTTTGCATATCCATATAGCAGCGTCCATTTCAGAATCTCAAAGTACTTTACAGGAATGCCTGGTATTAATGGACCACATTTTGAGGCCTTCCCTGATTGCTTATTCAGGGACACTCCCATTGACTACAAGAACCACAGGGGTTGAACCAATAACCTAATAGTACTTAGTGGTAAAGTGGGATTAGAATTTAGGAGTTCCTTGCTCCAACCCCCATTATGTTGGTAGTACCTGCTAGAATCTGCAACAGGTTGATACTTCCCACCTGATTTATGGAGTTTGACTAGAACTTCTACAGATAGAATGATCTTTTTTTACCCGTGTTTGGGAATAAAGTAGTTCACTGCACTACATAACACCACAGTGTAACAATGATTGTCTGAGGGTCATGGGACACCGAGAATTTTTGGATAACTGGAGATGACAGTTCTGGAGACTTTGATATTTGCATTCAGGGACCCAGACCTGGAGTGCAGACTTCAAAGCCTGCTGGCCAGTTATCTGATTATAGACCATTGGCTGTCTCAACAGCCTGAGGCTCTTTAGCTAAGTGTCTTTGGTCCTGTTGTGTGTGCCAAACCAACCAGAATTTGGGCAGCCACTTGCCCAAGCTTGCTTGATATATTGAAGTCCTTAATGTGAATTCCAAGTTTTTCTGTGAAGTCCTAGTGCATATGAAGTCTTTAATTCATAAAGACTGTCAACTGATTTCCCCATGGTCAGTGGAGCTAAGGCACCGTAGTGCTGCTGAAACGCCCAGTCTTGGGGATGCTGGCTAGCTCTTTGACACTTCTTACATAAATTTTTGCTCAACTTAAAAGCTGAATTTGCTGTATTCACACCCCGTCTGTGTTCTTGAATATTTTCATGAACAAACATACTAGCAAGCATGTTCTACAGAAACAGCAAATTTTAAGCAGCTATCATTCCTAACTCAAACCTTATCCTAAGAGTTATGTTCAGTCAGGTAACAGGTGCATCCAATTAAAACTAACCATCACAGCTTTGATATCGAATACCATGAACTGCTCACAAGCATTGTACAGGCCAAGACTGATTCATAGAAATTGTATGGCAAATATGTTTGACTAAAGAATAAATCTGACCACATCGTAAATTGCTCCACTCAATTCATGAATACAGAGGCTAATTTAGATTAATACCTTAAACAAGTCCATTATTTGTTCCCTTCCCCTTCCTATACCCTTGAAGCTGTTTCAGCACCAAAATGGGGCTGATTTTAGCTAAGCTAAGCTGATTGTATAGCAGTTTTTAAAATACGTATTTATTCCATATGTGAGCATTGCTTATTAAGAAAGGGGTTTTAAAGATCTTTTTTCTGTCATCTTTCATAGACCTATTCCTTCAAGGAAAACTATTCCATGCAGCTTTGGAATCTGTCTTTTTGTCTGAAGAGGTTCCGTTGAAGGAGCAGGAAAAAGATACCACGGTCTCTGGCTACTTAGCAAGTGTGCAGCATGTCCTGAGAGACATCAGTGGAGTAAAAGCTCTTGAAAGTGCAGTTCATCATGAGACTCTTCACTATTTAGGCCTTGTGGATTGTGTGGCTGAGTATCGGTGAGATGCTGGTTCTCCTATTATATCCCACTGTGTTTTATATGACTTTGGTGACCAAACAGCTGGCTTGTGGGCCAGATCTGGCCTATTTGATGTTATGTGGCTCAGATGGTAGGACACATCAAGTAGCAGCTGGGAGGTTGAGTGGACTGGGGGAGGAAGCCAGAGAGACTGTGGAGCTGAAGAGGCATCAAAGCAACAGCACCAGGGATGGAACAGGGGAGGTCAGGCAGGTTCAGAACGAGAAATAGGGATGGGAGGAGGACTCATAGACTTTAAGGTCAGAAGGGACCATTATGATCATCTAGTCTGACCTCCCGCATGATGCAGGCCACAAAAGCTGACCCACCCACTCCTGGAATAATTCTCCCCCTTGACTCAGCTGTTGAAGTCCCCAAATCATGATTTAAAGACTTCAAGTCGCAGAGAATCCTCCAGCCAGCGACCCCTGCCCCATGCTGCGGAGGAAGGCGAAAAACCTCCAGGGCCTCTGCCAAACTACCCTGGAGGAAAATTCCTTCCCGACCCCAAATATGGCGATCAGGTTGCCCTGCTAACAGCAGTGCTGCTATTCTTTAGTGAGTAACCTCTGCACACCACTGGAGCATCACATTAGCACGAAAGGGCTAAGTGAACCAAAGTGGTGTCATCTAGAACTGCCACTGGTATTTGTACTTATTGGTCCCTGGATCTAATCCAGCCTGTGCAGAAGGAGTTCATAACTTAGGCTGGCACCAGCAATGTAATAATTACAAGTGACACCTCATCAGCAGGAAACAGGAGAAATAGAGTAAAGTGAGTGACTTACATGTCTGATGTCATGTTTTTTCATTAGCACTAAGTTTTACTAAAATACTCCCCTTTTGCTTGGTTTTACAGAGGCCAGTTATGTGTGATTGACTGGAAGACTTCAGAGAAATCAAAGCCGTATCTCCGGAACACATTTGACAACCCACTACAGGTTGCAGCATATACCGGAGCCATAAACCATGATGCTAATTATGACTTCCAGGTCAGTAGGCCTACTCCCTGCTGAGAGAAGCAGGAGTGCTCACATCAACTTCATTTTTCCCCACTCACGTCCTCTAGTCACCCCCTCTCCAATATAGAACTGCAGCTAGCATTTACATGCTTGTACCTGTCCCAACCTAAGCTAATTCCACCATCATTGCTGCTCCTGCTGCCTCCCTTGGTCAGCAGTATGTTGTCAGTGTACTCAAGGAACTTTCCACTCATCAGGCCCTTAGCTAATGGCGCAGCTATTGAGAAGTGCTGAGCTCCCAAATCTCCAGCTGAACTCCGTGGGAGCTACAGGTGCACGGCCCTACGGAAAGTCAGACCCTAACGCAGCAAGCCAGTTTACAGTGAGAACATAGCATCTGGGCAATGCACAGCGGGGGAGAAGAACCATCCAGCTCCATGCTGCTTTGCATGAGCGTGGCATGTGAAAGGGGTGGAGAGGAATCAAACTCGAGAGCAGGCAAACAAGGAAATGAGCTAGCAACAAACATCCTGCTTGCCTCCTAGAAGAGTGCCTTAGTCCACTGGCAATTGAATAGATGTGGTTAAATGCTCTCCTTAAACCATCCGGGAACATTACTCCGTTCCTTAGCAGTGAAGGGAAATGGTGCCCATTACTCAACAGCTGAGGAAGGGATGTGTGTTTATAGACTCCAAAGAGGATCTGCTTGGCCTGAAGGAAGGCAGTTCCTGATTTGGAGAGGGGAGATTAAAGCAGGAGAAAATGACAGGATACCCCAAGGCCCTGTCGAGGACTTTCTAGGAAAGGAAAGAAACAGATCAGTTAAGCTGAGGACTTGTATAATGCTATGGCAGGATCATTTCATTGAGAAATATAGGAAGTAGCTACATGGTTCTGTTCCTTTTAAAAAAAAAAATGGCTCTGATAACAGGCCAATGATATCACTTTATTCTTCACTGTTAACTTTTTATGTTATTTTATTTGACAAGTCTGTTAGGTAGTGGAACATGCCGAAGTAACCATTTCCTTACAGCCTGATTTGCTGAATAGCATGGGCCTGAATCTGTACTGGTACAAGCAAAAATCTACTCAAAGTCAATGGGAATTTTGTCAATGTCCAGAACACAGGATTAGACCCTTAAGGCCTGATATGCAGGATTGCTGAGCACCTACAACTCCAAGTCAGTGGGCACTCCACACTTTGGAAAACCGGGCTCCTGGTGCTTTATTGTGAATAACATTGCTCATTAAAGTTAGTGGGTTTTATTTTAGCTTTACATTGATCTACATGGTGAAAATGCAATTTAATCTTTGGAATAGTCAACTGAACCTGCATATTGATATTGAACAACTGATGTCCTGCTTTTCATTGCAGGTTAGTTGTGGACTCATTGTGGTTTCTTATAAAGATGGCTCCCCTGCACATCCACATTTCATGGACTCGGATCTGTGCTCTCACTATTGGAACAAATGGCTCCTGCGCCTTGAAGAATACACAGAGAAGGAAAAAAACAGTGCAATTGAGACAAGTTAGAGGGGTGTGGTCTGAGCACAGAAGTGAAGCGGGAAGTCCTGAATTTTAATCTAGTCTCCGATACTGACCCTCTTTGACCTTGGGCAAATCACTTAATATCTCTGCCTCAGTGTCCCATAATACTTGCCTACCTTACAGAGGTGCAAGAGGATTGAATGGGCCAACTTAAATTGGGCTGATATTTACATTTTGCAGCAAGCCTTTATAAAACCTGAAATCAATAGAAATGTTCCCACAATTAAAGAAAAAATCCAGTTAAAAGTTTATGTAAGCAAACTATCACACTCTTGCAGTGTTTGAAACCTAACCCTTGCTGAACTGAGAACATGAAAGTGAAATTGACTCTGAACCAAAGCAAAACTTGCATTGTCAGAGCTGAGTGAAATGCAAACAATAAAGAGCATAAGTAGTGACAAGTAGACTGGATTTTAAACATTTCAGCTCTTGCTAATCTCTCATCTGTTTACAACATTATGTTGACAGTGTCCCTTTGAAGCCAGAAAAACTGCAAGTGCTAAGAATAACTAAACCTGCATTAAGCAATCACTCAGGATGTTAAGACAAATTGGTTGCTTTAGCAGAAGTGGCCCCCAGAAGAGGAGCAGAAATGTAATTGGCATAGCTGAAGACTACCCGTAAGAGCCCCCTAAGACAAGAGGTTGCTCTAACAAGAGTGGACTCACTCTCGTACAGGTTTCTCTGCATCAGTACAAAGCTGCGTCTCTCACATAAAGCAAAGTGAGAATGAAACGGAGGCTTTGTACCTTAGGCCCCAATTGGGCAATAAGTTCCATGCAAAGACTCTTGTGCCAACACAGCTCCGCTGATTTCACTGGGGTGATGCATAGATTAAGGGGGCCCACCCATGCAGAACTAATTGCAGGATCAGAACCTTAGGATGTATATTGATGACAGTATATTTTTCAGAAATCTTATTTTGTGATTTTGAAATTTAAGAACTGAAGATTTAAGAACTGAACGCTGATGCTAGTTCTTAAATAAACAAGTAAAAACTGCAACCATATCCTTCACGGACTACAAAGGTATCTTGCTTTCTGTTGACTATGTTAAGTTGACTAAATAACAAGTTTATCGATTAATAATTAGTCCTAAAATACAGGAGTCACATTTGAGACTCATTTCATAATAACGAGTTTGTAAGAAGAGATGATAACAAGATAGTGTTGTAAATGTTGAATAAACACTGAGCATTTCTTCTTAGGTGGTGTTGCTTTGTGTATGTGTCAACTTTTCCTATTTGTTTCATTCCTTTGAATCATACACTTGAGCTTTTCTTGTCATCACTCAGGATTACATATTTAAGAACAGCTGATCCATAATTTTAAAGACTACCAACCAGACAGTACCTGAAAAGGACTGAACAGGTTTGCTTTTGAACAGAAGAAGGGCCATGCTGGGTCAGACTCGTATAGCTCAACGGTTCTCAAACTGTGGGTCAGGACCCCAAAATGGGTCACGACCCTGTTCAGGCTGAAGCTGAAACGCAACGCCCAGGGCCAAAGCCCGAGGGCTTCAAGTTATAGGCCCCCTGCCTGAGACTGAAGCCCTTGGGATTCGGCTTTGGGCCCCCCCCACCCGCCCGGGGCAGTGGGGCTTAGGTGGGCTTAGGCTTCAGTCCCCACTCCTGGGGTCTTATAGTAATTTTTGTTGTCAGAAGGGGGTCGCAGTACAATGAAGTTTGAGAACCCCTGAATTGTAGCCCAATATCCTGTCTTCCAACACTGACCAATGCCAGACACTTCAGAGCAAATGAACAGGACAATTATCAAGTGATCCATCCCCTTATCTTGTTACCAGTTACTGATCCATGAGAGGACCTTCCTTCTTATCCCATGACTGCTTACTTTGCTTAAGAGATTTTGGTGTGGGATCTTGTCAAAGGTGTTCTGAAAGTCCTAGTACGCAATGTCAACTAGATCACTCTTGTTGACGCCATTAAAGAATTCTAATAGATTGATGAGGCATGATTTTCCTTTACAAAAGCCCTGTTCATATAGGTGTATGATAATGCTGTTCTTTACTATAGTTTCAACCACTGTGCCTAGTACAGGCTGTTAAGATAACTTCAGTAAGTGCCAAGATCACCTCTAGAGCCTTTTTTTAAAATCAGTTTTATGTTACCTGTTCTCCAGGCATCTGGTATAGAGGCTGATTTAAACAATGGATTACATACCACAGGTAGTAGTTTTGCAATTTCATATTTGAGTTCCTTCAGAACTTTTGGGTGAATCCCATCTGGTCCTGGTGACTTACTACTGTTTAATTTATCAGTTTGTTCCAAAACCACCTTTAATTACACCTCAATCTGGGACAGTTCATAGGTGCTGGAACTACGGGTGTTGCTGCACCCCCCTGGTTTGAAGTGGTTTCCATCATATCCAGGGTTTATAGTTTGATTCAATGGCTCTCAGCGCCCCGGGACCGTTCCTCAGATTTGTCACCTAAAAAGAATGGCTCAAGTGTGGGAATTTCCCTCACATCCTCTGCGGTTTAGGTGCTGTGCAACAGCATTGTCTTCCCTGAGTGCTCCTTTAGCACTTTGATTGTCCAGTAGCCCCACTGACTGTTTGGCAGGCTTCTTGCTTCTGATGTACTTACATAAAAACAGCAAATTTTTTTTTAGTTGCCAGTTGCTCTTCAAATTCTTTTGTCCTGACTTTTATACTTTTACAATTGACTTGCCAGAGTTTTTCTTTCTAGTTTCCTCAATAGGACTTCACTTCCAATTTGTAAAGGATGCCTTTTGCCTCTAACCACCTCTTTTACTCTCCTGTATAGCCATGGTGGCATATTTTTGGACCTCTTACTGTTTGTTTGGGGGATTGTTGGGGTTTTTTTTGGAGGGGGGGGGGTATTTAATTTGGGCCTCTATTATGGTGTTTCCATGCAAGCATTTCACACTTGTCACTGTTCCTTTTAATTTCTGCTTAATTAGCTGGAGAATCTTGCCTGTATGCTCGGGGTTCTACTGATCGCCATATTTGGGGTCGGGAAGGAATTTTCCTCCAGGGTAGATTGGCAGAGGCCCTGGAGGTTTTTTGCCTTCCTCCGCAGCATAGGGCAGGGGTCGCAAGCTGGAGGATTCTCTGCGACTTGAAGTCTTTAAATCACGATCTGGAGACTTCAACAGCTGAGTTAAGGGAAAGTGGGTGGGTCAGCTTTTGTGGCCTGCATCATGCGGGAGGTCAGACTAGATGACCATAATGGTCCCTTCTGACCTTAAAGTCTATGAGTCTATGAGCTTCCTCGTTTTTGTGTAATTCCCCTTTTTGAAGTTAAATGCTACTGTGGTGGATTTCTTTGGTATTCCCTTCCCCCTTACAAGGATATTAAATTTAATTATGGGCACTATCACCAAGTGGTTCAGCTATATTCACTTCTTGGACCAGATCCTTAGAGCCCTGTGCGGATATAAAATTTGTCTCTGCATGTGATCTGTAAACATGGCCCATGGATATAAAGCAGAGATCCACAGATTTGCAGGGCTCTAGATATAAAATTTGGATCCGCATCCATCCGCGGTCCACAAACATGGTATCTGCATCTGCGGCTATAAAGCGGATGTCTGCGTATTTGCGGGGCGCTACAGATCCTGTGCTCCGCTTAGAACTAGGTTAGGAATTGCCTGTCCCTTGGTGGGTTCTGTAACTAGCTGCTCCAAGAAGCAGTCATTTAAATGGTGCATAGAAATTTTATCTCTGCTTCCTCTCCTGAGGTGACATGTATCAGTCAATAGGGGGATAGTTGAAATCCCCCTTTATCACTGGGTTTTCTGTTTGTGTAGCTTCTCTAATCGCCTTCAGCATTTCACTATTGCCATCCTGCCGAAATGGGTCAGCAGTATATTCATAGTGCTATATTCTTCTTATTGAAGCATGGACTTTCTATCCACAGAGATTGTTTATTCAGGCAAGTTGGATAAGCTTCTAGCTGTAGCTAGAAAGCCAGACTTGAATTTGCAGTTCCTGCAGAGCACACAGCAGTGTGGAAAACAATGCAGTGAAACTCCAAATCAGCTATTATGACACTTCCTTGTTCACATCTTGCCTGTGAATTGTGTGTTTACGTAAGAGCTAAGTAGCTTCATAACTAAAAGGACAACTGTGACCCAGATGCACATTTGTGGTTCACTACTTTGTGTCAGCAGCTCTTCTCAGGCCTGACATACTCACTGCACCTAACATTTGTCATGAGCTATACCTAAATGGTGTCTCAGAAGATATTCGTAAACCAATAACTCACTGATAGTTAATGTTCTTGCATGATGCACGTACAGGGTGTGTACAAAGAATTATGAATATGTGCTAGAATTATTTTCTTAAAATGTGTTGGGCAAGCAGGGCATAAGCCCAGTGTGCCCTAGACAAAGGACTGTGTATTTGCTTGTCAGGCAGAGACAACAAAGGTCTAATGACATAAAAGGTAACAAAGCTGTCAAGAGGGGGAGAAGACAGCTTGACATCTGCATTCCAGCAAGAAAGAGAAACCTTATCTGGACTGTAAACATGGGATCTAAACCTCAAATGATAAGTAATTCAGACAACTGATTGTATACAATATTACTGTATTATAAAAGTATATCTGCTAAGCAAGATGTGACCATGAACAATAGAGGTCCTTTTTACATACAAATCAGCAGGGGGATGGGAAGTTCACAGGAAGGGAAGAACTCCAGGAGATCAGCCTGAGTCAGGGGACAAAACAGTAAGTTTGGGAAGATGTACGGAGAAGCCATGTTGGCACCCATCACTGGACAGACAAGGGAACAGAGCTCTGGTAAGTGAAGAAAGAGGAGTTCCTTCGACCAAGGGGGTCAAAGTCTCTGGGATTGGAAGACGGGGAAGAACCTTGAACAAACACTGTAGCTTCTTAAGTTAGGTCTTAGCCATTAGAATGTGTATTTTTACTTTTGTTTGTGACCCTTTCTAACTTTCTTCCTTCTACTTGGTGTCAAAACCTATGTCGTGTTATTTTTTTGTTTTATTTTTACGATACACCAACTCCGAGCTGTGCTTGAAGGGAAGGGAGCATTTGCCCCAGCTAAGTCAGTAAGCTGTAATGTGCTTTTGTCTCTTTAAAAGAGCAAACAAATGTTACTGGTGCTCTGAGTGTTCTACGGGAGGGCAGACAACATGGGAAATTCAGGACTGGTGGCGTGTTGGGGTCATCTTACCAAGTGTAACCAGAGTGGGGCCAGGGGTAACAAGCTGGCTGCTGGAATCAGAAATGCTGAATGAGAGCTAACCCAGGCACTCAGACCAGACTTGTATGCTGGCTGGGAGCATCTAGACAAGAGCACCATAGCAGCAGATCCTTTTGAGGCACTTAGGATTATAGGACAGGCAATGATACAACCCCTCTGGCCTGCACCCCAGAATGTGACATTAACATTCAGGCCAGGCCTAAAAGCTCTATTTAGATGGCTGAGCAGATGCCCAGTCAGGGCTGCCACAGTAATTCTACCTGTTATGCAGGGATGTTCCACAAGTGAGAATTGTAGTGTTTAGGTGGGTGGTTTCAAGTGCATTACTTGATGGGCAATATTTTGTGGAAGAGTGAACCTGTATGTAGCAAAGGGATGGCACAACAGAAGAACATCTAAACTAGGAAATGAGAGAAAGCCGCAGGTGCTACGCTGCAGTCAGGTTGGATCATCTCTGTTACAGATGCAGCAAAAGTCAGGAGAATGGCTAATAGGAAAGAGAGCGCAGAGAGTTCCAAAAACAGATGCACAACATTAGAATGCTGAAATTGTTGAATATAGGCTATGACACAGCCGCTAGATGTCTGCATGCAGTATGGAGTTCCACTCTGGAGGTGGCCCAAAGGAGGCAAAGCTGGTACAGGGGCTGTGGGAAGCCTGTTAGCATCTGGCTGCAGTTGATTTTATTTCTAAAACACCTTCTGTTTAAAGAGGAGAGGTAATTCTGCCTCTCAATTGATAAACTAAACAGTAATAAGTCACCAGGACCAGATGGGATTCACCCAAGAGTTCTGAAGGAATTCAAATGTGAAATTGTAGAACTACTAACTGTAGTCTGTAGCCGATCATTTAAATCAGCATCTGTACCAAATGACTGGATGATAGCTAATGTGACACCAATTTTTAAAAAGGGCTCCAGAGGTTGATCCTGGCAATTACAGGCCGGTAAGCCTGACTTCAGTACCAAGCAAACTGATTGAAACTATAGTAAAGAACA